ACGCACTAAATGCGAAAAGTTTTATTTCTTGCAAGGTTTATTGAACGTTGTTAAAATTCGGTTCTACAACAACGTTTAGTGCATGTTGTTAAAACACTTAATATATAGCCTTTTGCAACGTTCATTGATTGTTGCGAAAGGTTTCAGATTTTGAAACGTTCCTTAAATGTTGTGAAAATTTTTATTTGTTGAAACATTTGTTGACCGTGGTTGAAATTTGGCCTATGACAATTTTTGTATTTGTTGCTGAAACGCTTATTAAATGATCTTTTGCAATATTTGTTGACGGTTACGAAAAGCATCACCTTTTGCAATATTTTTTGAATGTTGCTAAACATTTCACTTTTCGCAACGTTTATTCAACGTTGTTATAAAAATAAAAAATAAAAAAAATAAAAAAATAAAAAAAAATCACAATTCACCAAATGGATTCGACCCGACACGGAAAAAGTCCATCAAAATTAGGTTTAGGACGTTGCCTTTTCCCTTTTTCCCTGCTCTGCCATCTCACTCTTTCCCTTCTACAATATAGGCACACCACGATTCACTGTCTTCTCCAAAAATAATGAAATGGCCATTGGGGCTGGACAAAACTCCCGAACCGAATCGACTGACCCGAACCCGAACCGAATCGAACGAACCGAACCCGAACCGAACCGAACCCGACGGTTCTTCTAAATTTAAATACCCGAACGGGTATCCGAATCGAGAACCGACGGGTATGGTTCGGTTCTCGGTTCTAGGTCAAGAACCGAAGAACCGAATAAGAACCGAATTTTTTTTATTTTTTTATTTTTTATATTAAATAAATCAAATTATTTTAATTTTTTCTAAATCTAATTTTTTTGGCCCAATTATTTATTTCATTTTTAATATTTTTTTTAGCCCAACATCAAGCATTTAAGCCCATTTTAATCTTCCATTTTTAGCCCAACTCTAAATCTCTACCTAACCCACTAAATCCAAGTATCCAATTCCATTATCTAGCCCTAAATAAAGTATAAACTATAAACTAGTAATAAAACTACATACAAAAATAATGTCACTAAAAAAACCCAACCCTATTAGTAATTTAGTACCCACTTAACCCAACCCTATTAGTAATTTAGTACCCACTTGGCCACTTGTTATTTTCAATCTCCAGCCCTAACCGCAGCCACGCTCACTCCCTCAGTTCCCAAGTCCCAAGTGCCCTAACCCTATTAGTAATTTTCAATCTCCAGCCCTAACCAGTGCATTCGGTTCCAAAGAGGCAAAGACCAACTCCCGTCTCTCCGATCAGCACTTCAGCCCCAGCGTCGCCATCGATTCGAAGTAGTGAACCTGAACTCCAAAAGTCGAAACCCCATCAAAGGTGAGACCTCCAACCATTTGACAGTAAGCCCTAAATGTTTCGCCGGCGCCAATTTTGGTTTTATCTGCCTAATAAATGTTATTCAGTTGATTACTTGCTTTGCTATCAATTTTAGATGTTGAATTTTTCTGAAGAGAGTTGATTACTTGCTTTGCTATCAATTTTAGATGTTGAATGTTACAACGCAGCTGTAAGTATTTATTTTCCTAGGTGCTAGCAATTGCAGAGAATTGAATTCCATGATAAAATGAGTATATTATTAGATTCATAGAAGTGCACTGTAATGGTGTCTACATCTGCAATTTGAGGTCACAGTGAAAATAGTTCATTTTCCACGTTCAAAGTGCCAAGTTGCAAGGAATAGTTCATTTTGCGAGAATTTTATGTCAAAACATTGTACAAGCAAACTGATGGCAGATTTCATATTAATCACCAAACTCTCTCCCTAAGTGATCAGTAAATTTTGCTTTTATCTCTGTTGCAATTTTTTCTTTTAACTGAAAGACTGCAATTTGACTAGTTACGTTTACCTAGCAATCCCCCATCCAAGTACGAGTCGACTATAATGTCAAAAAATGCCATGCGTCACACACAAATATGAATTAAACCAATATACATGCCCATCACATAGAAAAACATCTAAATAGCAGCTTCAATCTGACAGCTTTTACACGCACATCTAAGTATGCTTTGTATAAGCTGAGGCAGTAGCCACCTTCATAGACGTTAAGGAAACTGACAAACCTCTAGAACTTGATCATCTTCAACCCAAATATTATGTCATTATTATCTATAACATGGGAGAGAAGAGGGATTTTTTTGGGGTGGGTAGTGGGGGAGGGGGATTTGCCCCATTAGTGGTTATTGCATTATTTCAATCATACTTCCATCTCTGTTATTGATTAATTTTTACAATTCTACCTTGGAGACTTGCTTCATTCAACAATTTAGGACTCTAATTTGATGAGAGTCCTGAAACATTTAAATATAGATTGCTGAAATTTTGTGTATGGTCTTTTAATTGTGTATGGGATTTGCATTGTGTATGGTGTTTTGTGATTGATAAATACCATATCAAGCTGCCGTGTTTTGTGTATGGTCTTTTAATTGTGTATGGGATTTGCATTGTGTATGGTGTTTTGTGATTGATAAATACCATATCAAGCTGCCGTGTTTTGTGTATGGTCTTTTAATTGTGTATGGGATTTGCATTGTGTATGGTGTTTTGTCTTTGTATTTTATAACATGGGATAAAGCTATTCTTTATATTTTCCTACCAGTTTTGGGTGCTCAAATGGGAGACAAAAACAACCTAATGAGAGGTCGGAAATATGGAATCATTTCACTAGGATACTTGATGGAGAAAGATCAAAATGTAATTATTGTCAGACAACATTTAAGGCTGATACTAATAGTGGAACTTCTAGCATGTGGAAGCATTTAAAAATTTGTTATGCATATAAGAGCACTACGTTTGATGACAACCAAGCAATACTCACTCGAGAAAACAATGATGGTGGTATTACGGCAATG